ATACTTTTTTATACAAAGATTCCTTCTCTGCATATAATATGTATTATTTTTTATAACTCATATTAGACTATTTCAAGATCAAAACTGATAAAAGACGGAACTTATATAAAGTACGAATTTTTCAAATAGCAATACTACACCTAGCGAGATTACTACTCTACTATACGCTACCGCACTATACAAGTCTAAATAACTAACTGAAACAAGTATTTCGTTTTAGATTTAATGATGGATGATGAAGTAGCATTTCAAAATGAAAAAGATGAAAAAGAATGGATAAGACTCTTTCCATCAGATACTGACGCTGTTTATGAATCATTTGAATTTATCAAACGTTTATTTATAATAACATTATCAACAATATCATCAAATCGTAATTTATTTTCATCAAATTTTTATGCACAAAAAAGACTTGGTACTTTAAACGTTCAATTGTTTGATCATCATTGTACAAATGTTGAACAAACGGCAAAAACAGCAATTATATTCGATTGGATCGGTGGAATATCACAAACAATTGCTGAAAAATATTTAAAGATGGCCTCATTTATTATCGTATCGAAAGATGTTGAACAATTTATACTGGAAACATTTTTATTTTTATTTTCATATCATGATGAAAATACGGATAATCATCATAAAAAAAATTTCAAAAAAAATGATATACGAAAACAAGTTGTTATTCATTAACAAAATTAATTTTATTTCTTGAACGGCTTACTTCAATTAAATATAAATCAAACTATCGTTTTTGTGTTAAATTAGAATATTATGATAATACGCCATGTGACTATGAACCAAAAGGTTTTGTCAGTGTTGAACAATCAACATCGATTATACAACATAAAAATTTAATTCAACATTCATTGAAAACGTGTCCAAAAAATATTTTAGTAGAAATAAAAACAAATTATCATAAGTTGTTAATTGTACATAACAAATCATCAGACACAAAAGATATTTAACACATTCAGCGTTGAATACAATTCTACTTTCTTTTCGTGTGTTTTGTTTGTAATTACTTGAAATAGAATATTGGTTGTATATAGATGTGTTTATTTTTGTGGATTAAAATTGAGTATTAAGTAAAGCTAGACGTTGAAGGAGTAAGCGCCACTCGGAGACACATAAACTGTTTCAACGATATTCAAATTTATACTGTCTGTGCTAGAAAGTCTCTGTGAATTTCTTACCATAGAATATAAATACAGAGCTAATGTCACAGTACTTCACATGACCATCAAAAGAACATTATCATTCGAATTGTTTTTGTATTCGGTCGGAAATATTTTTGGTAAGTTCTATGCCTCTAGTGTTGATCTTAGGAAATGAAGCTGAATTTGTCAATTAATAAAGATATTTTGCATACAATTAGCTTTACTTTGACAAAGTATTGCTTTAACGAATGTACAGTTAGTTGAAACTGCTCAAAGATAAGCAAAAAAAATATCGATTTTCAAATCTCTTGAATGAAAAGTTGAAAACTTCGCTGCAAATTGTAACACGTCTACTAGGAGAAATGTGAATGTCGCATTGCTATCTTCTATCGCGCATATTTCTACCACTTACTAATGCTTTCGACTCTGAAGCAACAATTCTCTTCATAGACAGATATGCCAGAAATCAGAAAAATGAGACGAAAACAATGCTGTCGAATGATAATCACAATATGGAAGAACTGAGCATTCAATTTTTTTCAAACGGTCATTCTATGTCCTGTAAGTGCACATTTATTTGATTTAAGTGAGTTCACCCGATAAATCATTGTAGATCTCACTACATAATACATAAAGGATATAGAAAACGATAAAAGAAAAGCAATTAAGCTAGTTGAACTAAAGGAAATTTATATTAGTGATTCATGCATATAAACTTGTTTCACATATGCATTTGGATATATAGTCATCTTTAATTTGTGCGATTGTAGAAATATATTGAGTTTTATGATGAGCAGTTCGTTCCAGTTTATATAAATGAGCATTTATCACATTTTATTTTCTTCTCCGTTATATGTCTTCACCTTTCATGTGTAAGATTGTTTGCTATTTTTGCTACTTGATCGTTTCTTTTTGTCAACATTGCTGTCAATTACAACGATCTTTAATGACAATTTTCGCTAGTTTCCTACAAGAAACACAAAATATGGCTACTTATTTTTTTCCTTTGAAAAAGACTCAACATACAAACCATACAATTTATTCCAAGGAAAAAACACATATGAAACACAACAGAGCTGTCAGAGAGTATTTCGAATGAATTAGAGAAAATAATTAATCAATCCACACGCGTATATTGAGAATAGTGAATTAAAGTAAGATTCGACAATGAAATTATTGTACATAGCGATTTTGACTAGAAAAGAAGGGAATTTTTTCGTTAAAAATAAATAACCAACAAAAAATTTTGTAAGTAATTTTTTAAATGACGGACTCATTGAAAATTGTACTACTCACGAGGAAACCACTCCAACTGTTCGATCGCTTTTTTCACGAAACGTAGTGGACAATAGGTAATCGAGTGTGCTGAATCCAAATATCACAGTGGTTTGAGCGTCTAGGCCTCTAGAGACTGATTTTCTAGAAAACCAGTCTTCCAGAAACTCCAAAATATCTTCGAAACTTTTCTTAATAAATCATGTTTGTAGCGTGTGAAATTATGATCAAAATGAGACATCTCCCAGCTCTACATGACCTTTCTTTGCAAAGTTATAAAATTTATAAGAAAAGTCCTAAATTAATTTCTTCTTATTTCTGTAGCTTTCAGCTGATAATGAACATTTAGGGCTTTTCTTGTGAATTTTATAACTTTGCAAAGAAAGGTCATGTAGAGCTGAGAGATGTCTCATTTTGATCATAATTCCACACGCTACAAACATGACTTATTAAGAAAAGTTTCGAAGATATTTTGGAGTTTCTGGAAGAAAACCAATCTCTAGAGGCCTAGACGCCCAAACCACTCTGATATTCGGATTCAGCACACTCGATTACCTATTGTCCACTAGGTTTCATGAAAAAGTGATCGGACAGTTGGGGTGGTTTTCTCGTCAGCAAAAAGGCTTCCCTTTTATCATAATTTGTATTAAAAAAAACATGGATTGTACATCATTTGTCTATTTGTCTAATAAATAATAATGATACAATTTTTCATTTCCATCACTATCGTTGAATAATGGTTTAAAATTGACATAAACTATTTCACTAAAACCTTCATCCATTGTCGGTTTTACATAGGCTTTACTAAAAATAAGAGAAAAAAGAGTAGATACGTGATATAAATATACGAAAAAGGGGTGTACAAACTTTGATCCCAAAATGACAATATCGTTAACATTTTTATGACTATCATCAGTACCAATAATTTGACGAAACTAAATAAATAGAATAAAATGGAATTAAAGTCGTAACACAAATAATTAATTTTAAACGTACGATAAAGAAATAGTATAAAAGAAAATAGAAATAGTATAGTAAAAAAAATAGTAGCGAAAAAAAATAGCGATAAAAGAAATAGTATAGTAAAAAAACGTCCGCAGGTATGAACGTATCTAATATGAAAAGTTTTTACAGAACTAAAAGGAAAAAGGAAAGAAGAGAAAGAGACAGAGTAATGCATCCAAAAAAGAAAACAAACAATTAGAAAATGTTCTTGATGATTGTTAATTAATATGTGTAAGTATTTATAACAATTTTCATCCTTTTTTTTAAAATTTTTAATCAATCTAGAACAAAACAAAATAGTATCGATATACTACCAGTAAAGTTCTTCATTTTGCCGTTTTTTACTTAATGTGATCAGGATAAAATTGTGTGTGATGAACAATGATCTAATCAAATCGTTGAGTTGTCTCGATATAATCATCGATAGCATCTATTATCAATTGAATTTGATGGATGAAAAAATCAATATCTTTTCTAAAAACAATTTTTTGTTAGTAAATTAGATAGATTTAAAATATGTACTTTTGAAAATAATGTTCAATGAGCTTGCTTCTAGCACAATTTGGGGTATTTGTATAAAAAACGTTTCTGATTTTCTTGCTGAAAATATCAACAACCAAACATTTTTACTAGACAATGTAACTGCATAATTTATTGAACAATTCCTGTCAATGCTGAGTTAGTTTCAATAAGATTAGGTCAAAATTCCGTCGACTTCGATTCGTTTTACTCTTCTAAAACAACGGTAAAAACTTTTCGACATTTTTTGTGAAAGTATACGTCGTTGTTAACAAATATAATCTAAAGCGTTTCTCTTGGTAACTAAGGGTATACTTTTGTACATTTTTTAAGTCATAATTAATTATCACCATCGTATTCCAAACGGATGTATAGAACTTCTTTTCCAAAAATCAGTGTTCATAATGACGTTTTCGAATAACTTTCAAGAAGTACATGTTTGTATTTTCGTCATAGTTTTTGAACGAAAGAACGTGTGAACTGCGACAACGGCTCAAAATCTTAACACATTTTTCTCATTAAGCTGAGACGTCATAAAGCTCTGGGCGCCTCGCCATTCGAAAATTATGAGAGAAACAAACTATAAAAAACCGTGACGGAATTTCACTCCAATAGCAGAGTTAACTAGCCAAACCAATCAGTAACTGCTAGAGCTAATGAAGAATTGAGATTTTTAACTATGTGTAAGTTTTTTAAAAAGTTGACTCACAGAAGCATTAGTAGACGATAGTCCATATGAGTAATCAGTAAACAATGTGCAGTGGAAGGCGGTGTAATCGAATCATCCCACGTGTAAATATTTACAAAAATATTGTATTTGCAACCTTTTACTAGAAAAACAAAAGAAATAGGAAACATACATAATAATTTTAAATACTTTTAACGAGAATGTTTGTTTGTTTTAGTGTAGTTCAAGTCAGACTTTTCTAATATACCACGTACGCTATTTTAAGCACATATCAGAAAAATAATTCTAGATGTGTCATCTAGATACAACATTTGCACATTTGAAATCATCTTTTTTTTTCTAAGTTTTTATAATCCGGGAATAAGAGAGAACGTGCGGCTGCCTTCAAAGAGAAAATATCAGAAAATAAGAATGTTTTATAAGAAATACCAAGAAATCTCATTACGTTTCACTTAGTCGACGTAAACGCTAAAAAATATTTGTTGAGCATATTGTCCTAATCATCTAGAATTGAAATTAACTTCATAATACTTTGAATAATATCTGCTTTTATCTATTAGTATAACGAACGAACAGTGTGAATGAGAAAACAAAAACGGTTTCTATACTCTTAAAAAAGAAAGACAAATAAATAATAATCAGCGACTTCTTATGTATTTATTATATCTCGGAACCGTAGTTCATCTTGCGTCGTCCAATTACTTGTTTGTGTTTTAATTGTATTTAAATTTTTTTGTGTTTGTGTTCCGATATCATTCAAAAATAAGAAATCCATATCTTCAAAATACATATTATAATTTGGTTCAATAAAATCATTGAAAATTGAATAATAATCTCCAATCGTTTGTTGTACAGAATCTAATGGCCAAAATGGTAGATCATTCTGTATGCCTGTATCCATCATTAATACTTGTTGTTGATTTAATGAAAGTAGTTGTTCACTTGTTGTTTGCATCTGTTTTGATGATGTTTGAATCGGTAACGTTTGGACATTTGCATTATGCGAATCTGCTGATGATGGTAATAGTATACGATCAGTACTTGTATGTTCTTGTACAATTGAATACTAATATCATTATAAAAATTCACATCCAGATTAACAATATTTGATATGGCTGTTTGAGTTTCTGAATGAACAACTTTAACGTTTTCAAATTGTGACATAGCTGATTTACCAAATAGAAGAGCTTGAACATCGTACAATATTGTTGAATTTATGGATGAATCAGTCTGCATTGGCGGCAACAATGTGTCTAGTTGTGTAGGCAAAGACGTTGAATGTACGCGTTTTTTATAAAGACGAACACGATTTGTTGTTTGTACCGATTTCCGTACGGTTGCAGGACGTAATATTTGTACATCATTATTATTGTTATTATCAATCAATGAACAACATTCAGTTCCAACAGAAACTAAATGAGAGGCTTGAGTTGCTTTATCGCCGTCAGTAATAGAATTTGTCAATGGTGATAATGCCATTCCATTACTGTTAATATTTTTACTATTCGAATTATTTTCTAGTGCTGACAAAACATACGGATTGATTGTGACAGTGGTCGCCGATATTGTAGACGGAATTTTGATGGCTAAACTATGAGTTAATGGAGCCCGTTTTAAAAGCTCATTGGGTATGGGTCTATCGGCTAACTGCTGCCATAAACGTTGATTTGATTTTGAAAGTTTACGTGACTTTTTTGATTCGATTTGATTTATCCTATTAGGATGAAGTAATGAAAATACTGGATCATGTTTCTTTACTTCTAATTTTTCGATAATGACGGTGAATAACTTGGTGAATTTACTAAAATACTAGAAAAATCTAAAATTCGTTAATTTTTGCTTGATTATGCATAAAATTTATTTTTGTTATAACTTTGCACAGACAGAAACCCGTTTGGATCAAAAACGTTTGCGTGATAATGCTGATCTTGAGGCTGAACTTTATGACTTTTTATATTCATAGTTTTATTCATATTTATATTTTTGAACTTGATGTTTATAAATAACTTCCAAAGTATCGGAAAATCTAATCACTGGAATAACCCAGACACTATACATCCGTTCTAGCATAGGCATGCACCAATACTAGAGAGATGGTTATATAAGCTTCGCTATAAGTTGTTAATAGCAAAAAAGTGATCTTCACAGCCATCTCTACCTTCGGACTTACAAAAATACACTGGAGCCAGTTTTATAAAAAAACTTAGGTAAAAAAAAAAAAGTGTCCAATGTAATATAAGGCTAAAAGGTTTTCTGGACACCCTCTGCAGATCCCAAGGGAGTTGGAAGTATTTCAAATCGATTCATTATGATAGATTAGCTATACTCTGTAAGTTTTATTATCCGTATACGGCTTTTTTTGTATTATCACACTTGACTGCTGTCTGGTGACATCTATCTCCGGCCTACAAAAAATGTTTGCTCAGCTTTTGTTCTCTCTCCATCAGTAGATACTTCAGATCATCTCTCTGAATATTTTCTCTCTCGTGGATGAAAAAAAAGTTTTTGTGCTTCTCGCTTATGATTGGCTCATACATGGAATATCTAACAGTCATTTTTCCGTATTTTGCGCAGAGACACACAGACACAACCATTTTGTAAGACCCTAGACTAAAGTCAAGGGAATAATAAGAGATGACAAAGGGAGAAATCTATGGCGGAGATTTAATTTTCAGACAGTGAGCAAGCTTTGAATGTAAAAACCTGTTTTGTTTAGAAGAAAACCTCGTGGATGAATACTTATTTTGTCATTATAAATTTCTAAAAAAGGAATTGGATTTTTTTGTACCTTCTCGAGCTGAGCAGTGGACAATTTTTGAGCAATGTAACGTGAAATATTTTTCTAAGTCCGAAGGTAGAGATGGCTGTGAAGATCACTTTTTTGCTATTAACAACTTATAGCGAAGCTTATATAACCATCTCTCTAGTATTGGTGCATGCCTATGCTAGAACGGATGTATAGTGTCTGGGTTATTCCAGTGATTAGATTTTCCGATACTTTGGAAGTTATTTATAAACATCAAGTTCAAAAATATAAATATGAATAAAACTATGAATATAAAAAGTCATAAAGTTCAGCCTCAAGATCAGCATTATCACGCAAACGTTTTTGATCCAAACGGGTTTCTGTCTGTGCAAAGTTATAACAAAAATAAATTTTATGCATAATCAAACAAAAACTAACGAATTTTAGATTTTTTCTAGTATTTTAGTAAATTTTTCTACAATAATGGTTGACGTAAATAGAAATGTGATAATCTGCATTTTTATGGCTATAACACTGGTGTTATCGGTAGCAGTGACTATAACAATTTCAATGACGTATCGTGACCTTAATCTGGAGGGGATACAACCAAATTGTACATGTATGAATATCAACAAAGAAATGTTTATCAATCGTCTAACTGAAAAATGTCACAGTGTATTCGATAATGGATATCAATGCTTTTTGCACTTACCATTGGCGAACATTGATTGTTATTCCAACTCATGGTCGTATTTTATCAGCAAAATTTTATGCTGGATAATGGCGGGTATTGATTCTATATTGCCTTATTTCATCTGGGGTCCACCACTTACACCAGCGGTTGGTGCGTTTCTTTGTGTTTTTGGTCTTGGCTTAACGTTATTTTCATCACCATTATCGTTGGCACCATGGCTAGTTCTGATTATTGAGTCAGTACCATTTTTATTTGGTTGGTTTATGATCATATTTTATTTCGTCGTTGTTCCACCAGCAGTGTACTTTCATCCACATACTGCCTGAGGAATGAAACTATATGTGTGACGATAATGAATTTTTTGTTGTTATGATTTTGTTTGTATTTTTTCACTCCATTTCAAAACAAATCAAAATCAACTGTTTCTATTTGTTGCATAAATGTTTAAAAAATACAATAGCAAAAGGAAGAATATGGGTTATACGAAAAAGACAGCAAAAAAAATAATTTCGTAATGTCAGATCATCCTCAGTGCGAGCTTTATACGAAACAGTCTTACGCCCACTTATCACCAACGATAAAATAATGATAATGCGAAATTTATATAAATTATGCGTAAGGGAACCTAGCAGCGGATTCGAGTACTTCTTGCTAATATTCGTCTATGAGCTTGTGTAAACTCTCTCTTTGCTTGTGTAACATGCAGAATTCAATTCTCTATCGAATGATGGTCTTTATGACGGGTGTCATCGACTGAAAAATGGGGGCACCCTTCAAATACTGGTTCTAGAAAAAGAACGCAACATAACAGAAAAAAATCAATCGCTTCGTACAGGATCCAAACCTGTGTCGCGTTCTGACGAGAGAACTTATCGTCAGAGACACTCTCTCGAGATCTCGACGAGGATGGGGTAATTGACAACGTTGATTCCGAATACGCAATTTTTATTTACCCCGAACATTTCCTTCAAAACCCCTCGGAGTGATATGTAGCGCATTGAAAAATGTCAGTTCTCACTAGAGTGTGAACTTTCTTACCTTTAATATCTTTAGAAGTATGATCAATTGATCGTGTGAGGGTGAGCATGCGTACTTCTTTGAAAATATTTTCATTCCTGTTATACTGTTGTTTGGTTTTGTTCAACACATCTATTGATGGAACTTCACTAAAGTCTCCTTCTTTTAGAAGATCTTCATTAGCATATCGTAAATTACGTTCATAGATGGCTAGTGGTCCATGTTGATTAACTTGTTTTGCTAAAATAAAAATTCAATACAATAGGTTCGTGGACAATTGAACATATACCCATAGCTTCTCGATCAGCTCCAGGCAATGGACGGCCAGTCGTTTCCTTCTTTGGATCGTGCTTTTTATCACCAATAACCACCACTTTGAACACACATGGACTTCCTTTATTTCTCACTTCATGTTCAACTTCGATTTCAATCCTCACAGGACACTCGCTATTTTTACAGTGACCTCTGGCACTGAATAAATTGGGTTTCTTTTTCCATGAACTTGGATCTCGAATATGATGATATCGAAAAATGATCGTACACGTGATACCCAGTGTAACTAAATGCGGAACAAGTTGATTTCCCCAACTATTGTATACATCATAGGTTTTGTGATCGTAGAAAGCCCGCCATTGCTCGTAAGTCATTGTAAAATACTGTACATAACGAGGCGTTAAAACATCTTTTGCTCGCATAACTTTCGGTTCATTCGAAGGCATTATTGATAAAGCAGCATTATTGACCACCTATAGTACATATCAATTATTATGAATGGAAAAGAATTGAGAAGAACAGGAGTTCACTGTGTCGCCGTATGTTATATCTGTTGCATCATCGTTGGATGATTAAACGGAATTGCTTTGTGATCATCGATTTGTGTTGCCAAGAATGTTGTGCGAATTTTTCGACGATTGTCATGCCATGTTGTACACAGCCATTTACGAGTATCAAACGTATCTTTCTTGGAAATTTGTGTTAATTCTGCCAATCGACCCCAAATGCTATCTGATTTTGAATAGTCGTTGCTTTTGTCCTCTAACTCACGATTGTCCGATCCTAGTTGCCTGATAGCTGCCATAAATCCCTCTACACCACCCACTTCTGTCCAATACTCTTTCTTCTTAAGAAACTTGAACACCATTGCGTTGAATGATTGGAATTATATTTATAAGATATTCTATCGAATTTTCTATGAATTCTGTATGAAATCATTCCCATTTATAGAATCTATCATGCCCTCTCTCCTTCTCTATTTTCCTCTCTAAGAAAGAGGACATAGGTGACAAATGATATGCCTTTCACTGTTTCTTTTCTGAACGAGCGATACGGTTGATTAATTGGGCAAAAACAATTAGATGGAAACAGAAAGAAAGAAATATCAACAGGATTGAAGAAAATAACAGTTATGTTTGGACAAGTTGATAGATTAAACTCCGAAAAGATGCATATTCAACTTGCGGTAGAACATTATTTTATAAGATTTCATGAATGACACTTTTAACTGAAAGAATATGGCGAATTCATATCAAGATTCTTTTGTTTTGAAAGTGTATCGTTCAATTCAAGTAAAATTCGTCCTTGAATAATTTGATTGTTTTCTTTGCTTGATATTCTTCAGCTTCGAATAAAAATATTTCTAAGATATAGTCGATTGTTGAATTTGCAAAATTGCGAAGCATGAAAATCAATTGATGAGATATCAATCAATATCAGGGTTTTACTTTCCAAAGGTGAATCAAAGTACTGATAGCATCGCCTTGATTGAAAATGTAAAAGTGAGAAATGTAACACAGCTTGATTAATCCATTGAAAACAGATTAAGAGCTAAGTGTAACGTCGATATGATCGACAAGGAAGAAAATTTCGTACTTTCTAAAGTAGTTTCCGTTAATGCCTTCCTCACATAATCAATATTTGTATGTGACACGTATAGAACGAACTGCAACAGGAAATGATCTGATTAATAGATAAACAGACACTTCTACAATCAAAGAAAATCTGAAGTCGACTATAATCGATGAAAGAGAAAGAGAAAGAGAAAAAATGAAAAAGCATGCAACAGGTGAGAATGATATTCAATTTGTGTCATTTATACAATCTTTTGACGCACGATGGCTGTCTCTTTACAATTGGTACTGCTATTCTATACAATCAATTTAGTTAAAACGATTATACTTTCACCAATGATAAATATACCTACAGCTATAGGCGGCGCGCCATAGTAGCGAGGGGTAGCAATAGAAAGTTATTGCTACCCCTAATAACACATATTCTGGGAGTTGTTAGAAGAAGTGGGAACTGGGAGTTGTTATTATTTATTAAAATTATGAGTTTAAAAAATTTATTGCTACCCCTAGGAACTTTAACTTGCGCCGCCTATGCCTACAGCTGATGCAGTTATTAATATTGACAAAGCATTTATACTTCAACGCATCGGTCAATATTCGTCGAAACTTGAAGGAGAAATTGTTCGCTCAGTCATACCTCTTAATGGCCTATGCCTTACGTCATCTTCAACGGATGTGTGTCAGTTCACTACATTTAACACAAGAATCAACACATTCGAATTTGCGACTGTATTACCATCGCGTGACACCGTCACTGCCTTACCTCGATATGAAAGTGATCAACTATCCTATTTAATTCAAGAAGATGTTAATCGAATTTTTAAAATTCCTCGTACCGACACAACAATCTTAAAAATGGACTCCATTATGCATTACATCAATAATCAATTTCATTGATTCGGACATTCGGACGAATGATGTCAAAAATTCTGTACTTGATTCAACTAAGATTCCTCTTACTAGCAATCAATCGAGCATTCCACGCATATCACCAACTGCATCTGCTCGCATAGTTACACAAATGAGAAATAACAAAATCGGATTTGATTACCTAACAAACAACCAATTAGATTCGTTTTTGACTGCAGTAATGTCTGCTATCGACAAATCTTATCAAATAGAAGATCTCTCTGAAGCACTTAACACTATTTTACAACTTATCGCGGGTCAATCTATATATGTTCAACGTTCATGCTCAATTAATCAACAACCTGTTGGAACTAATCAGCCATGTCTTATCGTTTCTACATTTTTCTTGCGTTCGTCAATTGCAAGCGACAATGTCTTTTCAGTTTATCGATTGAAACCATTACGCGCAATTATTGATGATGAGCAATTCATGTATTCAAATCTGCCTGAGATAATTGGCATTAATAAAGAGGATGAAACCGTGATATTTTGGAATACTGTACCGAAGAAAAATGAATGTTTATTTTCTATTTTTGTTCATTGCAAAACAAATCCACCAATCATTTCACTTAAAAGAATACCATGCTTATTCGAAATCTTTAGTCAAGACAATTCCATCGCTAGCTCATGTACAATCAGACGTTCTCGTCAAATAGAAAGCGAAGTTATGAATATTGACCATAATGTTTGGCTTTTCTCCCGTACAAAAGGAACACTTTACTGAAATTTGCAATCAAACACTGGTAAATTTGGTGGTCTCTTTTCTATTCGCGAACCATTGATCGTACAAATGCCTTGTGATAATAATATTAAATGTACTAACGTTGAGTTGGCCTCATCTGCTTGCACTAATCGAATTGTATTGATCAAATCAATAGACAATGAAAAATATGAGCGATTATCATCTATTCCATGGTCAATTAAGAACATGACAAAGCAACTACTGGCCACGTATAAATTGACAACAAGAAATTCAGTAACATCTTTTGTTGATAATTCCAAAGATAACCAATTTAATCCAATAATGGGTATTAAAGCAATCGGTAATATTATATTGTCAACATTTCTAATATTTTGCTTTGCAATAAAGTCTTATTGGCAATAGAACAGATGATTTCTATATGATGATATGATGACATAACGGTTTATCAAAGTTTAGAAAAATGAAATGAAATCAGGATTAAAAGTTAGTTTTAGTATACATGAGTATCTCTAAATCAATATGACTAATCTATATTCTCCATACAGCACACATCGATCTGTATTAGGCATGCACCGATTTCGATTAATCGAAATTCGATTATTTGAAATCGAAAATATTCGAACCTTTGATTATTCGAAATCGAAAATATTCGAACCTTCGATTATTCGAAATCGAAAATATTCGAACCTTCGATTATTCGAAATCGAAAATATTCGAACCTTCGATTATTCGAAATCGAAAATAATCGAACCTTTTTTCTGTTTCTGGCAAAATACTAGAGC